TTACTCCACTTCTTTGCCCCCAGGCGGATAATGTCAGAAGAAAGGCTGTTCTAGGTCACGCCTGGGTCCGTTGTTAAGGACAGCTTGGACAGGGAAGCATTTGCTGGTCTTTCTCAAGACATCGTATGTCCTTGTATGTTCTCAGTGTGTCTCTCCAAGCATTAACCAGGAGCACTGCTTCTAATACATCGTGTGAAGTAGCGCTTTTTGAAGTCATCAGATTCTGGGAGTATAAAGCACAATGGCTGTCAGCATAGTAAACTTAAAACACGGCCTCTACCCATACACACCTTATGGCATGTCTAAAAAGCAAACTGGCTTTTCTGACGCAACTGGAGAAAAATGCCAAAAGGAGTCAGGATTTTGTGAATTGAGGTAGCCCTTGAGAATGGGTGTTATTTCAAAAAGTGGACAGAATGGGAAGGAATGGCATTACTCGGAGGGAAGAGACATGAAGCAGGATTCAGTGAGAGAAAGAACATGGTAGGTGGAGAGGATAGAAAGTCACTGATTGTTGCAGACTGGGTTGGGAAACAAAATCAAATGTGCCAAATGGGGCCAGGTAGTAGAGAACCTTTAAAACCAAAGTATTTGTCCACTTGATCTGGTGGACAGTGTGTAGAAGTGTTTGCCCCAGTACCAAGGAATGACCTTTCTCCACCCTCATGCCATCTCGGTTCTCAACTGGGAAGGAAAGGATAGCAGGGTTAGAGTGATTCTGTAGTTCTTTTGAAACGATGAACTTAAATATAATGATTATGTGGATGAACATGAATCCAGAAAGGGTTCGAATTTACCCCGAAGCATTTGCTACCTATTATAGGAGCATAATCATCAGAGAAATGATGCTTTAGACACCCAGTGTCATCAGAAAGTAACAGTAGAAGTTGATGTAGGAAAATCACAGCCTTTGAACCCGTATTCTCAAAAGGAAAATGTTTCTCATGGATCTAAAATGAGAACAGAAAAAGAAATCAAGCTTGTGATCCAGAAACCTAGTCAAGAAGTGCTGATTGCCAAGGCGGTTATTTCACTTAAGGCATTTGCTGTTGAGAAGAAGGATGGTGTGCCAGGATCTGAGATGAAGGACAGAGTCAAGGGGTCTGGGAAGATGGTGCATCAAAGTGGATTGTCCTGCTGGTGAAGAAGCAGCCTGGCTCAGCAGGTGCTGAGTAATTCGGTGAAAGACCAATTTCTCTCATGCTGCAGTCTAGGTTCCAGGTTATATGCTGGATCATAAGCAGTTTTGTTTTTTTTTTTAATGCATTTTTCTGTAGCAGTAAACAAAATGGGCAAAAATCGTATTGTGAAGTCTGTCCAAAAAAGGGGAGGGAGAGAGGAAGAGAACTCACCACATCATGGGTAGTTAACTCTTCCTCTCTTGTTTTAAAGCACTGAACAGAGCCAGACAGAGAACACCATCTGGAGGGGGTGTTCCAGTTCAAGAAAGAGGCTGGGGGAAATCCAAACTTGGTTTAGACTGGTTGCTAATTGTAGTGGGGGCTGGCTTAAAAGCATGCTGATTTTATTTTATTTTCTTATGGACATAACCTGTTACAGGGGAAAAGATCTTGTAAGTTCAGTAGTGACTTATAGCGTTTTATCTAATGACTTCAGGAGGTGTGTTCTAGACACTGGTCACACTGGTGACCACCCATGTTGAGGATCTGCACTGACTGGTCGCTCGCTGGCCATCATGCACTGGGACCATATGGAAAAATGGAAACTCCGTTATGTTTTTGGCATGGGGTCTTAGCACATTGGCAGAGGCTCCCACAGGTGCTACAGATAAAAAGCAAGACTGATGGTGACTCAGTGGCAGGATGAAGCGATGGGGGAAGACTCTAGGGAAAGCAAAGACTGAGACTATCAAGGACGTTTGTGAATAAGGAGGTGGAGGGTAGCGGGGGACAGCATTTGGTGTTTCACACAACAGGGTAAGTGTTATTTTGCAATACCATTGTATATTTAAGCAGTGTTTACCAAGCTTTCTAATTATAAACTTAAGTGGGATCCTTGTCAAAATACAGATTCTCAAACCTGGAATCACTTTCTAGGCAGGGGTCTAGGAAACTATTTTTAACAAATGCTCCAGATGAATATCCTTAGCCAAGTTTAGGAAACACTTAGGCCAATTCAGTCAGCCTTAATGTCAGCAAATTGTTTTGATTTTTTTTAATTGTATTTTATTAAAGTATAGTTGATTTACAGTGTTAATTGTCATAATTTTGAGTTAATGTAAATTAATGGACTTTTCTTGTCCTAGTGATAGGTACTTCTGTATCATGTGGCAGTGGAAGTATAATAAATATCAGTGTTGACAGACTCATAATTTTAGAGGTCGGTAGCTTATCCTTTGTGTGAAATTTGCCTGTCTTGTAAAAAAAATATTAGGCGCTGTCTTGGGGAGATAAAGATGCACTCAGAGATATGCTGCATTTGTGCCCCTGGGTGCACAGTGGCATCTGCCTCTTTCCATTCTCACTTCATCTCTGTTCCCACTTCACTCTTGTTTTTCCCTCTTCCTCTTGTTCCCTGCATTGCCTCAGAAAGTACAACCTTGAGTTACCAAAGTTTTTATCCTGAAACATGAGTTCGCTTGCTCAGTATAAAATGTAAAAACTTGCAAGGTGACCGGGCCTCTGGTCCCATCAACACTTCATTTTCCCTTCCAGGTCCTCATTTGAGTTAACTTCGTGTGACCCAAGGGTGGCGGCATCTTCCACTTGGTTCTCATCTAGTCTCCTGATTGTCCTGTGCCAGCTGCCGAGCTAGGTGGCCCTTCCACTCCAGTGATTCTTTACCCCTGGTTCCTAGGAAGTGTTTGTTTCTGTTTTATTTCTCTCTGGATGGAGTGGACTATACCTTCATCCAGCCTTATCCCTATAGTAAAATCTAAGATTCTAAGTCACAGAACTGAAATTCACAGACAGTACTATATGGAAGGATCTTGATTTTTCTTTCTGTTTTATATCTCTAACTCAAGGGTGCTTTTCTGGTTTGCAAGAGATTATCAGTCTTACTAGGACATTCCTAATATTTGGTATCTGTGCTTCCCCATTCTGTCTTCCTTACAAACATGCATATTCTCAAGGAGACTTTTCTCAGCTCAGTCCATTTACTTGCATCATCAGAGGACTGTAACTTCTGTAGCTGTCGTCTTTGTGCAGTTCAGGTTATGCATAGATTTTATCCAAAGGCCAATCTAAAGGGAAGTACCTTAGAAGGAATATGCCTTCCTTTATTTTCTCTTTGGATAAAAATCTTATACGTGCAACTGGAGATTGTTTTTGCTTGTCTAAACCATGTCAATCTTTTTGCTTTTAACAAATCTGGTCACAGTTCACACAAAGAAAGAAATCACCCTGTCCTGCATTTCTCAAAGAGTTTACAATCTATAGACAAGGCAGAAACATGTGAAAAGTAAAATAAGTGTATCAGACTCTACCCCACAGTGTCACACAGCACAGGAAGCTACACAGTAAAAGCCAACTTTCTGGTAAGAGAGTTGATTATCTATAAACATAAACAGATCCAGTTGCTTTTCTCTCTGACACAGAGAAAATGATTACCTTTCTGGCATCTTCTGGAAAAAGCATAAGCATGTCTGTCTGCTTCTTTCTCTCCTTTGCCTCAGAGGTACATCCCATCATGACCTCTCTCCTTCCTTTGCACGCTGTCGTGCTTCAGTGTTTTTTCCTGAGCATCTTTAGGTGTTCTTTAGGCTGCTTCTTAGAGTCCTGAGGCATATCATCAGGACAGCTGGCTGTTTGCACATTAGGAGGAACTGGATCACAACAGTCTCCGGGACTTCTGATTTCTAGTCAGTAGAGATGGGGATTTCTGTTGGCTCAGGCTGGAGGAATCACACTACTTGTCTCCCCCCCATATCCTAGTACTGTCTCTTCAGGTCTCACCTTTCTCCTGCCACCTCCTCTCCAGCGCCTCTCCTTCGCCACTCTACAGCGAGCCCGCAGTAAGGTCAGTCAGGTGCCTGGTTTTACTCCCAGCGAGAGAACTTAGGCATGTGACATATACAACAGCAAAGTTGAATCTCATATCCTACCCTCAGCCCCCCTGTCCCTGGAGGGGCACAGGCCAAAACCTTCCCCCATCCAGGTCCTGGGCTCCCTTTGGTTGTGCTCCTTAGCTCAAGCCTTCCTTCTTGGCTCTGTTCTTTAAGGGTGAAGTTCATTCTTCAGGGCTTGGCTCCCACTTTAGGCCATCATCTGTCCAGTTGGATCTCTGAAAAAGTAAGGGCCTCAACCCTGAAAATTCCACGTTCTTTCTGTCCTTCTCTTCTCCTGCCTCCTATTTCACCACCTCTGTTGAAACTGCTGTTTCAGAAACCACACTCCCAACCTCTCAAGCCTCCTCTGCTCTGATCACAAGCTTTTGTCCTACCTCCTATCCCTCTGGGAAATAAAGTTCTAAAAATTATCTCCACCCTCTCTCCCCCCTTAGAAGTCCCATTCATGAATTAATAGAGCATATTTGCATATTATCAGTTGTCATTGTCTGTCTTACTGTACCATTCAGAGTGTTTCAGTTTGTGCAGTTGCATTTTTAATAAGAGCTGTGCTGTCTTGTTGGGTGATTGGCCCTCAAGTCTAGGTTACTTTAGGGAAGATTAGGTCTCAGCGTTTGCCAGTCAGTCGGGACTTGGACATGAACGTGCACTACGTGGCACACTGAACAGCTTTTTTGTGGAAAATACTTTGCTAGACGATGCAGGCAGATGTGCCGGAGCTCCAGCTTGACCTCTGTGTTTAGAATTGTCTGTCTGACCCCAACAAGTGGTGTGCTTCAGTGGAAAGTCACCACATTCAGGCCTGTGGCTCTTGTTCAGCTGCTACGCTGTACACTAGTTCAGGATCTGCTGTATTTTTGCCTGGTTAAAACCTGGTCAAGGTAAAAACTACAATAAAATATTCATCCAGAAAGATAACCTGATTAATGTTCATCGATAAGTAAATCTGTTTTCTCTGCTTTCATTTCAGATTTGTCCAATATGTGCAGCGTTACCTGGAGGCGATCCTAATCATGTCACGGATGACTTTGCAGCTCATCTTACACTTGAACACAGAGCCCCTAGAGATTTAATATCCTTTTGAGATGCAACAAGGGAAAAAGTTGTTTGTAATATTTGTCATTGTGATGACTTTTAACGGCAGTATTCCCAAGGAAAAAATTAACCTCCGAATTATCTTAGTTGATTTGACATTTTCCTAAAAGTGATAACAGCATTGAGGTGCAGTTTCTTATTTCTCTTTTCCCACCCTGTGACCATTACATGAAAAGTGCTCAGTAGGTGAAATTCACTTGCTCATTATCTTCAGTTCTTTGCCATCAGGTTTATTATTTTTTAAGACAATTTGACTAGGTTACAAGTTTTCAGGATGTTTTCATATAAAAGCAAGAAAATGCTAATCCAAATTAAAATCTAGTTAGTTCATTAACTGTATGGATGATGTACTTGCTCGCCATCCGTGTTCTCTGTTGCCATAGTTTCTTACAGGCTGGATGGTGGGCAGGTGTGCCCACCATCAGAAAGCCTGAGGCTTTCTGCCCATTGAGTAGGACAGCATAAGGTCAGATCCAGTTCTAAATTTCTTTCCCACTTTGATTTCTGCTTCTCCTCCCAAGCCAGTCTCATGATGGTTCCTGACAGTATTCTCTATACTCTCCAAGAGATTACTGGCCCACCAGAGTACATTTATTTGTAGACTCGGTGCTTCTGGTTTCAAGTTATGAATTGTTTTTCTAAAACTATCACCTGTTAACTTAGGGCTGTTTGCTCATGGGAAGGTTTTAGTGTTCATTGCAGTCTGAAGCAATCAAGAGCTACAACCTTTCTCCCTGCCAGACTCCATTCTGATACCTTTGCTTGCCTCCTGGCAATCACAAGACAACCTTAGACTTGGTGTTCCTGTCTTTCAGCTCTCAGCCCTTGATCACAGAATGTAATTTTCTTATTAGAAATTTGACCCTTTAGAGTTTGGGGGAAGATAAGTGGAAACTAATGGAAAGTTTCCCTGGTGAATCAGATGGTAAAGAATCCGCCTGCAATGCAGGAGACCAGGGTCAGGAAGATCCCTAGGTCAGAGAGATCCCTTGGAGAAGGGAAATGGCAGCCCACTCCAGTATTCTTGCCTGGAGAATCTTACAGAGGAGCCTGGCAGGCTGCAGTCCATGAGGTAGCAGAAAGTTGGACATGACTGAACAACTAACACTTTAACTTTCAAGTGGAAACTAATGGAAAGATAAAGCTATGGAACCTTCCTGAGAAATAAGATCAGCCTGGTCTGAGCCACCCTGGGGCAAGTACTGAATGAACAGAGGAGTCCACTCTTCCTCCCTCCTGAGTGCAGGGGACACTAAAAGCAAAATGAAGAAAGCAGTGCTTACTTATTTTTTGTTTCCCCCAAGAAAACATGAAAACCCAAATGGGTCAAGAATACTTTTAGCCTGTTAGTTACTTCCCATTTTGTATAAAAAATTCTGTAGCAATACCCAGAAGAGTTATACTTGATCCATGCTTCACTCCATCTTCATGGAGAAGCTAGGCAAAAAATTTTAAAAAACCATGCCATTATTCTGCACTTCTCCAAGCAGGTTCAAGGACCTCTAGTGAAATCAGCATCCATTCCATAGAATGTCCCATGTCATCCACATCCAGTAGATGTGTATGAATCTTTCATTACCAAGAAAAAATAAATTATGCAAAATATGAGAATAAGAGAAGTCATGTGCTGCATTCTAGATTACTAGCAACTATTATCTTTAAATTCTAAAAAGTAAAGTGTTGGCATAGCAGTTTTCCTGGAAATATAACTAATTTGACAAGTTTTTCAAGTGTCACTATGTGATATTTTGTTTGACATGAGAGAGTGACTTGTTTCTAAGCCTCTTTGTAACCAGGCTTTTTTTTTTTTTTTTTTTGCTACTTTGATAGAACTTTTCCTAAAGTGTACTTTTTATTATTTTATTTTTTTAAATTTTTTATTTATTTGGCAGAGCTTCCCTGGCAGCTCAGCTGGAAAAGAATCCGCCTACAATGCAGGAGACCCCGGTTGTGTCAGGCTCAGTAGCTGCAGTGTGGGCTTAGTTGCTCTGAGGCATGTGGGATCTTAGTTCCCCAACCAGGTATCAAACCTGTGTCCCCTGCACTCCAAGGCAGATGCTTAACCACTGGACCACCAGGGAAATCCCTAAAGTGTACTTTTTATACTTTTACAAATAAAGTGTGATGATCATAGCATCACTTTCTGTAGAGCCCAAGCCTATGTCATGAATACCATGAAAGAGTGTGCATTATGGCTGCCCACCCTGTCCCCACATGACTCCTGAACTGGGAATCTAGCACAAAAGTTAGCCTGCATTATGTAGCTGTTCTGTTGGCTGCTTTGTTTGCGTTTTGGGGATTTTTTTTTTTTAATTAGTGTATAGTTGATTTGCAATGTTGTGTTAGTTTCTGCTGAATAACAAAGGAAATCAGTTACACATATATCCCTCTTTTTTAGAATTCTTTTCCTATGTATTGGCAGCTTCAAAAGAAAATCTCTTCTGCTATAACATGTGCCCCCCCAGTCCCCCCTCCCCTCCCTCCTCCCTGTATACTCACACTTGCCTGTGTAGAGACACAATGTTGCTTCTCAGGACTTTAAGCTGGTTTGACTTGTTGATAAATGTGCTGTTAACTTTCTGTGTGTCCACTTAACACAAGAAATTCAAATCTAGTTTTCTGCTTAACAGCAGTATTGGCAAAAGAAAACCCAACACATTGACAGATTAAAACTGATAGCTGAAAGGAATCTTTGACTCCTGAAATTTAAATTATTTGTACTATTCCTCTCTTGTTACAGATGGTCACTGAGATTTGATTAGCCTGTATATTAGCACTACTCTCAGCAGATATAAAAACTGATGGTTATTATTTGTGGTTACTGTGATATGAATGTATATGGGTTCGGGAATATTTCCCTCTGGGTATCTGACCAGGTGGTACCTTTCACCTTGTCAGGTGATGTTAACTCTGGCCCTTGTAGCTGGAACCTGCGAAGAAACTTCTTCCCATCTGGAGAAGCTTTTTTTTTCTCTTTGAAAACACACACACATATACAGTATATACACACAGTATACACATATGTTGCTTTATATTCCCGTGTCCATTTTTAGAGTTAATAGCCTTCATAGACATAGTTGTGCCATTCGTATTCTAAATGTGCTGTTTTAAAATGCTTACAATTTGGGAAATCTGCGTGCTTATCTTGCAAGGGCTCAAATGACTTCTTTTATATATGTATTTTATTCTTACTATGAAATACCCGAGTCCTTTTCTTAACCTTGGAGTTATGATGAGTCGAGCGGTGTCCGACATGTACGTAGAATGTTTCACCCTGGCCGGGGGTTAGGAGGTCCTCGTGCGCGCAGATCAAACATGCACTTTACTAGCAGTTCTACTGGTGGACTTTCTTCTTCTCAGAGTTCATATTCTCCAAGCAATAGGGAAGCCATGGATCCTATAGCTGGTAAGTTAGTTTCACATCCTTAAAGGAAATGGCTGGGGATGGGGGGCTCCCTTTAAATTTGGGGAGTAGGATTTATGTCTCAGTCTCTCATCACACTCCTGTGTTCCTTGACAAAATTCCCTGAAATTCTAAAAAGTGTAAGATATGTTTAAAGTAGACCATGTGGGGAATTCCCTGGTGGTCCTGTGGTTAGGACTCGGTACTATCACTTCTGAGGGCCCAGGTTCCATCCCGGATCCTGCAAGCCACATAGCAAAAAAATAAAATTATTTTTAAAGTCGAGTAGACCACGTAAAGTAATTCATACTACTCTGACATTTTCTTTAAGTACTTAGAGGTTTAAAATGATAAGGAACGTCTGTGTTCTATTTGTGACCTCCAATGAAACCCAAGAAAATCATAGAAGATTTCAGAGTTGAAAGACCTCCGGAATTCTGTGGTTCAACCTCCTTCATAAGCACACAGATAAGAAAACTAATTGACAAGACTAAGGAAATAAGCTCTTCTCATGGAATGAAGTCAAGTAGGAATGTTTTGTACTTGTCTTAATTTGAAAATTATATTGTTATGAAACATTCATGTTCTAATAGCTTGGGAAAGTCTTACTTAAAAAAATGATTTGAACATGTAATTTGTACCTGGATCTAACGCATGGCCAACCTGGACAACTGGCAGCAGAGCACAAGGTTTGACAGTCAAAATGTCAGAAGTTGTTGTAGCCAGAGACCCTGAAAGACACGCCAGCACAGGTAGGCATTAAGAGTCCAGGAGCCTGTGCAAGACCAAAATGTGTGCACACAGTGGGATTTGTACCTGAAATGTGCCTAGTGTAAATCTGTCACCAAAAGTACGAACCGTGTTACTCATAGAATCTTCTCTAAATTATGAGATATTCAGTGTAAAATCTGATTCCAGATGTGCTTTGGGCATTTGGATGTACAAGAAGCACCAGAAAAACTTCATTTAGGGATTTTAAAAAACACTGCTTCATCCAAAAGGAATATATATACCTGCTGTTTTTGGTAACAGGCTCTAAATGTTAAGTGATTTCTGGGGGAAAAATTCAAAATTGAGACATTTTCTCTATTCAGTTTTTTTCTGTCAGTGAAAATTATATTAATGATGGACTATATGAAAAAAATGGTGTTAAGAACCTCAGGGATTAAACAACAGTGAGCAGTAAGGCAGAAACTTGCCCTGGAAATGAGTTTTAATGATGAAAAGCTTTGCCAGCCTGGGAATGTCCAAAAGGCAGCCATCAACTCCACATAAGCCATTGGGAGAAGGCACGTGCTGCACCTCCCTTAGCTGAGAGGCTCCCAGTGAGCACAGCCTAGTGCAAACAGGAGTCTAAATAAAACAGGCTATACGATTGAGAGCCAGTCAGCCTCAGCGGTTGTCACTGCAGCAGTGCCCTGTGACTCTGAGAGAGCAGTCCCAGAAGGTTTGAGAGAAAGAAGGCAGAGCGACCACAGTGAGAAATGATGCCGGTCTCTCTCTCAGATTTAATTCTGAGAGTCATTCAATCATTACATCAATGCTGGAGTGCCTGCTATGTGTCAGGCACTGTTCTAAGAACCAGGAGCAAGCTATGAGCAGTAGACTTGATCCCTGCTTTCTTGGAGGTCATATTGAGAAAGTTTATATTATGCTTGGACCAGTGGATGAAACACCTTAAATACTAAATACCGAGAGAAAGTATAGCTAAATCAACCCATTATGCAAACAACTGAAAAACCAATTTGCTGTGTTTCAATTAGAAAGAATTATATGTGAGCTAATAGTCATATATATGTTTACATTTCCCTCACGCAAGTCCCACCTCCAGAAGGCATCCTAGAAGGTAGTAAGCTCCAAGCTGAGACTGTATGTTGCCCCAGGTTACCTTCCCATTGATGATTGCTTTGAATGTTCGTCTGGTAAAAGGATGATGGTAGCATTTCGTTTTTCTCCTACTGCACTGGACATTAATGTCTTCATTTCCTCTGACAGAGCTTTTATCTCAGTTATCGGGAGTGAGACGTTCTGCAGGAGGACAGCTGAACTCCTCTGGCCCTTCCGCTTCTCAGTTACAACAATTGCAGATGCAGCTGCAGCTCGAACGGCAGCATGCCCAGGCGGCACGGCAGCAACTGGAGACCGCACGCAATGCAACCCGGCGCACTAACACAAGCAGTGTCACCACTACAATCACGCAATCCACAGCAACGACCAACACAGCTAACACAGAAAGCAGTCAGCAAACGATCCAGAACTCCCAGTTTCTTTTAACAAGGTAGTTCATTCATTAATATGACTTCAATAAGTATTTTGTTAGCACTGCAGTCTGAGATGACCTTTGCTCTTTTGTCCTTATGTGTGTTCTTAAAGCCTCGACCTTTGCTGATACCTTTAAAACTCACAGAAATCTAATCAAAATCTGTATTCAGTATTGCCTCAAAAATAAGAAAAATAATTGTTTACTTTAGATAAACTGGGCTTCCCAGGTAGCACTAATGGTGATAGCCCAGCTAAAGAATCCGTCTGCAATGCAGAAGACTCTGGTTTTATTCCTGGTTTGGGAAGATCCCCTGGAGAAGGAAATGGCAACCCACTCCAGTATTCTTGCCTGGAGAATTCCATGGACGGAGGAGCCCAGCGGGCTTTACAGTCCATGTGGTCACAGAGTGTCAGACACAACTAAGCAACTTTCACTTAGATCACCTGTGAATGCTGATAACAGTGTTCTATCAGTATCTCATCATCTGATAGGAATTTCCTTTCCTGCATTGCCCATAAAACATAAGCACAGTATCATCACATATATGGGACGTGTTAGGTATATTTACTGTCATAATGAACACTGCCTTCCTTTTATAGCCAGTTTGAGTCTGCTCTGAAATACCCCAAAGTACAAGAGAAGATTTTATAGTGTGGTGGTTTTCTTCTGAGAATTTCTAAAGAAGTGGAATTTAAATGTTTGTGGTTAGCATACACAAAAGTAACTGTTGTAAAAAATGGTTTAGCACAGTGTAAAAAATACTTAGAACACACAGTAAATGGCTCTGCTGAATGGAATAGAGTTCATATTTGTTCTGAAAGCTACCATTAGCAACTGAATATGTTCCTCTGCCAAGACCTCATGGGCATTTTATGTGACTTTTAAAAATAAAGGAATTTTAGAAAGAGCAGTGATGAGTAGACACAGGGTCAGCAGATAATGAACCTGGTTCTAATTTGGACTTTTAGTGGAATAAATAGGAATATAAAGTAAAAACTGCAAAAGGAAGAAAATTAGTGGAATATAGCAGTTACCTCCAAAAAGTAATGTGACAGATGTTAGAAGAAAACATTATTTCCATGTATATTTCTTTTATCTCATGCTTTTAAACTTCTCTTGTTAGTACAGTGGCACATGTGTATAGTTGTAAATAACATATTGTGGATGCAAAATAAAAAATACTTGCCAATTCCTGCAAATAAGACCCCTGTCAAGAGCTCCAGCTTTTTCCAGTTTGGACCTTAGGCAAATCACTTTACTTCTCCAGACTATCATTAAGTTCTATCTTAATATCCCTTGAGTTTTGCCTCATTTGAGTGAGAATTGTTTCGAGGATGAAATGGGAACACTGGTATGTGTATGCCCTCGTTCAATGTCTGGCATATAATAAAGGCCCAATTAACAGTATTTACTATGATTTGTTACGGATCTAAGAAGGAAATTTCAAGTGAGAAGTTTACCTTTGGATTATTTTTGTAAAGTGAGTAGCTATGCCTGATTATTACCAGAAAATGTTGCTTCAGCATAGAGTAATCACAGAGCCACAGGTGGATCCATCCTGCCACATAACTTAGCAGTACGGACTGACAGACTGCAGGCTTCCAGCTTGTCAGGTTGGGTACCAGCCTAAGAAAGGAACTCTACCAGTGTGTTGTCTGGTGCAGGTTCACTGACCTGTGCGTGGAATGAATGTCCTGTCCCACTGCCCTTCGGAAGAGACATCTTCCACCTCTGTTCCACTCTGGTTTTATTTTGTTTTTGGAGCTCCAGCCTCAGTGAGCTTGATCTGGGACTTTTCTCTGTGCAATTATTCTGCACCACCCCCAGCCCCGCAACCAGGGAATAGTACAGTGGCCTCTTGAGTGCTCTCCTTAGATCCTGGTGGTAGCTTCTGGAAGGCCCCCTTCTGTCATCTGATACTGTGCATTGC